AGGTTTGGCATGTGGTTCCATCATGTGTTTGCTTCCATGATGGCCACAGGATTGGACCCTCCAGTCCGTGCTGCTAGCACCGTCCCTGGATTTTCGGACGGGCAACTAGACTACGTCCCTGTCTGGTACAGCCCATCCATCCCATCCGTCAAGGGACATGATTGCGGGGCAAGAAGGCCGCTCCACTGAGAGCTTGCCACCGCTGAATTCGGCCTGTGGCAAAGCCACGAATATTTGTCTACATACGAAGAAAACAAACAACAGCTATGATAGCAACCAGCACCGCCGACACCTACCGAGTCTGGCCATGCTGATGAAGCAGGCAACCCCTTTGCCTACCTTTGGTCCAGCAACCAACCAACCATGCAAGTCCCTCCACTTGTGAGATCCCCATCTCACATTGTGTCCCACTAGCAGCCGATGCTGAGTGGCCGATGAATGTTTCGTTCATGGGGAGAGTTTGTAGATAGTTAGTTAGTAACTAATCGTACATCATGGCAGACCCATGAGAGCGAATCCATACGCACTCGTGGGGAGCGATATCTTTTAGGAGCGAGAGCTCTGGATTCCTCTGGGATAGCTCCAACAGCTATGCTGGCCTACAACTCCAGCATGCGCAGTTGGCTTATCTCCCAGCAAAGCAGCAAGAAAGGATCGTCCTTTCTACCATAGTTAAGAAAATAGAACGAAAGACTGAGACCGATCCTGATTAGCTTGTAGCCCCTTTGATACCGCAGCAGTTGATTCCTATCCTGTTGAGGCCGGGCAGAAGCAGTAGGAGGTAACAGATAGTACTGTTCCCAGACTGCCACTGCACGATTGAATAACGAAGGCCCCCAGCTCCTGAGGAGAGCTGGCCCAAAAGGGCCCAGCAGAGAGCTCTGCTGGCCCTCCTGTCTGACTGATAGGGCCAAGTCCTTGGTTTGGGTGCCTACTGGAGGTGTTGAACACTCCTGAGGCACGACAAGGCTCCCTTGCTGCCTGACTACCACTGTTCCCGAGTAAGGGCTCTAACGAGGCCCAGTCCACTACTTCAGTACTGGAACGAGAATCTATTGTGGACGTTGCATGATTTGCACTGTCATGCAGTTGTGCTTGCTCGAGAAGGGCTGCTCGGTATTGATCGAGTGAATACTTGGAGGTGTCTCCTGCGGCTTTCTTGGTTTGCAGGGCGAGACGTCGTACGGGAGCGAGATTTGGTGCCTTGGAGATTGAGCGTTCCAAGAAACGTGCTCCCTGCGTGTCAGTGTATGGCTCGTCGCTGGTCTCATTGTACTGCCGAAATTGTTTGAGGAAGTTGGAGATGAAACCGGCTTGGTACCCTCTCCATACACCGTCTGCGATATCTGCGGAGGTAACATATGACGAGATCTTGTCCGAGCACAGGGTTGCGACCATGGACTTGGAGTAATATTCGTCGATTGCCTTGTTCCAGATCGCACGAGTGTCCTTGTCGGTTTCGTTGGCAAGGACGACAGATCGCGCCTGTGCCTCTTGGAAGATGTCCTCGAAGGTCTTGTACATCCATTCTCGTTGTTTCTCGTCTAGCTCGACGTTGGTGACCGTGAAGTCAGAATCAATGAGGTGGGAGAGACCTTGAGATTTGAGCGTGTTGAGGAAGTTCTTCCTCCATTGATGAAGGCTGATTCGTCGCGAAACCCTCTGAACTCCGAGCGGACGGGCTTGTTGTTCTTGTCTCAAAGTGCGATTGCATGCTCCCCATCGGTCATCGTGGCATCGCTACGTCTCATTTGCTGCCATGGAATGATTTCGCCATGTGGCTGGAAGAGTCCAACTCTGAAAGCATCGATTGGCACGTCTGGTGGCGTCCAGTGAGACGATGCGGATGGGTGCCTTTCTCTTAACCGGAGCAATGGTGATACATCTGTATCGCCGCGAGCAGTAGCTTCTTCCTGGTGAGAGGTACTGGTCTTGGTTGCCGTTGGTGTCGTTGAAGCTTGGAGATCCATAACTTCATCTTTGGTGAGAGTAGGAGATCCATCCATCCGATCGATTCTTGTTCAGACAGTGCGATGCGCATGTGAGATGAGATACCCGGTGTTGGAAGCGTCTTCCCGCATAGGTTGCATAGGCATGCTGAGCCTGGCTGGTTCGTCGGCCATCTTGTGGAGGTGTGGCAGTGCGTAACTGCGACTGTTAATCTGCTAACGTGAGAAATACTATACTTGAATAGAGGGATCTTGTAGAGGTAGCTACCACCACAACGAGATCAACTGCAGCTATTCAAGACGAGTGCAAGGTAAATGCAAAGTTCGCTTCTTAGTAATTCATAATCTGTGTTGTGAGCTTTGATTGATGCGATCAGTAAAGCTAGTTGTAGCGTGTGTTAGATCAATGCATCGGTAGTTGATCTTGATTCATATGAAGTCAACGTGGTATTTCGTGAAACGGTTCGTTGGTGGATGCTTTACTCCTGTCGAATACTCAATTTACCGTGTCTTTTGGTTTCATTGAGAATGTGTCTTGCAGCGTTCTCTGTTCCATCATGTTGACTCATAGAAGCATGACTCAATCTACTCACGATTCTCTGAGTCGTGGGAGGAAACTTAAGCTTTCAAGCCCTCCTCGGCACAGCGATTGAAAGGACAGATTATGAACAGCCTTGTCCGACTAGCTGAACTCAGTCCTCTTCAAGATGACGAGGATGACGCTGATGATTGGGGTTGCTCTGAGTATGTGGTTGGTGATTATGAAGTACGACAGGTGCTTTGGATCGAGCATGACGCTGAAAAAGATGGAAAGTATGAGATCAAGCAGAAAGCGTACATCAAGAATTCGCCGACTAAATAGATAACCAAAACCAAAAGGGAACGAGTACTCAGTATGCGGGAGTACTCTACTAAAGGATTTATCAATTTATCATGTCAGTAAGTTGGGTACTTTATGGTTTAAATCAAAACTATTTGCTATCTGGCTAGCTACGGTAGCTTGCGACACCAGGTTGATGTTTCATAGTAACTGTTTCTCACCCATTGCTTTGAGAACGCGAACGATCATACGGACGCAGACTGTTGTTGTGATTGTTGCTCTCAGTGTTGACTTTGTTTCTTCTCATCGGTTCAGAAGCCACCCACCCCATCGTGGTTGCAGAATGTCAACTGCCATCACGCTGCAGTCTTGCAAGTCAGCTAGTCTAGCTAGACTACCATCATGCAGCCATCATGATCGTCTGTCTGGAACGTAAAACCTTATCTCTAATGAGGGGGACGAGAGGTGGGAAAAACCATTATTACCTAACCTCGGTCTCCCGTCCCACTACTTTTTTCTGTAGTAAAAATTGAAAGATTTAAGTTAAAAGGGGACATCCCTTATTCTAAGATTTCCCTATGTCATGATTGCGTCACCAGTGAGTCCCACCTCTCGGTATGAAAATCCTATCGGTATGAAGTATGTGGGTGTGAAATTGTCACCTTCACCTTCCCTCTGTAGCTTATCTAACAGATAACCGACATTTAAAAAACAGAATGCCCAGTACTGCCCCAAGAGCTAGACATTGGCGCTTCAACATAAACAATTACACATCAGCAGATGTGGACCATTTAGCTTTAGCCGCCATCGCTCCCAAAGGCGGAATTCAGTACCTCATATTCAGAAAGGAAGTAAACGCCTCAGGATCATCGCGTTTACGAGGCCTTCTTACTTTCAAACTAAGAAAAAGGCTAACCACCGCCAAAGCCACTCAAAGGGATCCCACTGTTCTTTTGGCCTCCACACTGATTGTTTTCAATATTGAGATTGGCTCAGTTGCTTGGGCCATTGTTCTGGGTGTCATCGTAGGAGTCTTGGCTTGGGCAACACCAGCAAAGAGGGCAAGGTGAGTGAACTTGTTGAACATCCTTTTGGATCAAGGTGGCTGGTTTGAACTTGGTAATGAACTTGCTTGCTTGTTGGCTTTTGGCTTTTTGGATTGTTAGAAGCTGAAATTGTGAGCTTTCTCAAGTGCAAACCAAAAACTGCGAACCAAAACAATCCCAACCCCAAGCAAAGCAAAGCAAAACCTAGAGCAACCAGTTGCTATAGAACTCTCAATCGTCTCGTTTCAATCAGAAGTGCCGGTTTTTGGAGCAGTCCACGAACCCGATCCTCACAGTTGTCTTTCCGCTCTGTACATTGGTAGGAGGTACAGTGTACTTTTTTAAGTTTTCCTTTGGGCACCGCCACGTCCTTCCATAGTTCCACGCTCGAGATTCATGTCTTGTGTAGCTTGCTAATAGAGCTAACCGGTTCCTGGCTCTTACATAGCAGCTGGATCATGCCGCAAGGGTCACGATCCACGATTTAGGGTAGGATTTTCGAATCGGATTTAGAGCAGAGTTTGAAACTCTACCTTAGTAGGGCAGAGTTTTCAAACTCTACCCAAGATTTAAGGCAGAGTTTTCTGCCCTATTCGAAACTCTACCCTAAATCCGGGATTCCCCTTTGAGGCACGCTCCTGGAAGGCACCAGGTCTCACGAAGGTTGAAGGTCGCCAAAATCTTCAAAATCGCGGTGGAAACGGTAGTCGCGATAGTCGTTCTAAAGTCGCGGTAAAGCCACGGTAAAGTCGCGGTGCGCGACTATCGCGACTTTTATAGTCGTTCTAAAGTCGCGGTGGGTTCCTAGTAAAACCACGGAGAAGTCGCGCTTAAGTCGTGAAAGTCGCGATAGTCGCGGTGAGATAGTCGCTAAATTGTCGTTGTAAAGTCGTGGTGAGCGACTTTGAAGATTGAAGTCAAGTTCAACCATCTACCTGGTGCCTTCCTGGTAGCTACTAGCATAGGAAATATCAAATTTTTGATTGGGAAACTTTGCCTTGCCTCCTCCTGTGACAGCATGACAGCACAACTTGGGCGTTTTTGTGCACGTACAATGTACGTGGTGCGATTTGCTTTGAACACCGCCACGAAATGGTATGACGTCATGAATACGCCTCCCAGTGCTTTTCATTAAACCATGTGAGATGTTCGAAGAACTCCTGCAATTTCGACATAAATAGCACTCCGATTTCTTCAAGGATTCGAGGAGCACAACCACATCTCACCCATCAAAATTGAAGATGTTGATGACTATGAGGATACCCAAGAGCTCTGCCTTTTCTCTCCCAGCACGGACATCTCTGGTATTATTGCTGTTGATATGCATAGTTGGGCACTGCCAGTTTGGCGAGGCATTTTTGTCCTTGAATCATCATAAGCAGGAACGATCATCATTTCACCAAAGTACCACAGACAACACCTACCATGAGTTTATATCCCTGTCAAAGGGTCCTCAAATGCAAGAGCTCAGGGCTACCAACCGAGCCCCTCTCTCTTTTTCTCGCATTCGAACAAGCACACGACAACCAAGCTCACAAGATCGGTACAGTGATCACGCTTCCCAGCTTCTGATTTCCAAAGATGATTTGGACTTGCCACAACAACTTCAGGCCACCAAGGCAGACGAGTATCGAATTGTTTCTGACCAGGAGCGAGAAAAGAAAAACAGCAAAATGCATAAACATGGACCTTCTGTTGGTAGCAAGCGACGGCCCGCTCCAGAACAACCCGAATGGATCTTGCACTTTAGTGCAGCCCAGCAGCAAGTAGACCAATTCAAGATGAAAATTCAAACTTTGATCGAACAACCCCTTGTGGAATGTGCTGGTGCAGCACAGATCCTGCTGAGTAGCATTCTGGTTGCCGTCACGACCCTCCCAGATGTTCCCGACGATTTGCTCGTGCCCATGGAAACTGTCCAGGAAACCCTGGCTTATCTCTTTCTTGCAGAGTTTCTCACAAGATGGTTCTCTTGTACCGACAAAAAGGGAGGTCGATACGTGACACAACCACTGGTTCTGGTGGATGTCTTTGTCGTCGTATTGCCTCTTCTCTTGACCAACTTTCCCTTGCTAGACGCGGCCTTTCCAGATTTCATCAGTGGCCAATCGGGTCTCATCAACCTCCGGCTCTTGCGAGTGCTTCGGTTACAGCGTGTCTTGAAGGATGAACTGACCTTCTCCAAGTTTGTCAATGCGGTTCAGCTCAACTCCAACCGATCCAGTTCGGCCATTGTGCAGCAGTGGGAGCTGCAACTGGCACGTGTGATGCTCAGTCTCTTTACGCTGCTGTCCGTGGCGGCAGGATTGATTTACACCACTGAAAATGCCGCCAATCCCAACATTGATGACTACTTTACGGCACTGTACTTCACACTGACAACTCTGACGACCGTAGGGTTCGGCGACATTACACCAATGACTTGGCAAGGCAAACTAGTTGTGTCTGGAAGTATCTTGGCTGGGATTACCATTATTCCAGCGCAAGCGGCATCTTTGGTGGAAGCCTTGTTTCAACGAGGGGAGGAACAACAGCGACAGCAACAAGAACAGGAAAATAGACAACGACAAATGTTGCAACCAGCCAAAGCCACCGACAGGCGTTACAGTTCAGGAGGTAGCAATAGTCTCACTATGGAAACAATCAGCAGGGATCTCACTAGAAGCAGCAGCAGCACCAATGCCGAGGCAACCCTGGAAGCTGCCAAAAAGTGCCCTGTCTGCAAAGTTGGACTGCACTGGTCTCACGCCACGTATTGCTATAACTGTGCCAGTCCTCTGGGCCCAGAAAAGACACTGGTGTTGCCTGAAAAGTAAAGCAACAATTACTTTCCAGAGCCCTGCCCGGCAGCATCATGCCAAGGCTGATTGAGAGAGCTAGCAATCAGGATAGAAGATGTGTAAGAATAACTATAATCCATAGATCGATAGAAGAGACATACACAGACTGAGTGCATGCTATGGTTGTTCGCCTTAGACTGTATGCCTACCGCATGGATGTTTAGGATGCAGCCTCAGCGCGGATTCTCTGCCACTTCGAACTGATCGGTAGATTTCTCGAAGAGTATTCAATGATCCGGACAACTCGCTAGCTAGCTAGCTATTCCGGAGTAGAATATTCAGCTTCTGTGGCGTGGGTGGTCCACAACATTGATTCGATAGAGGGTCGTACATGCTGTTGCTCTTCTAGGTACAGTACAGTATGCAATTTATTTGAGTTTGCTAGCACAAACTATCACGAGTGCTATCTAGAAAGAACCTGTCAACCAAAATCACTTGGAAATCCTAGAAACTAGACAAGCACTGGAATAATCATTTATTCTATTATTGGAATGCATTAGTAACCTTGGTCCCAACACTGCTCACTCCTCCTTTATTCCATAGGTCTTTTTGCTGTCCGCAGAGTACTCTCCAAAGGGCTGTACTGATTTGCCCTTTTTCTTTTGTTTTTGGCTCATTACTCTATCCAATTCATGTGTACGAATGACAAAGAGCATCATGTTTCAATAAAAAGCATGGCGACACCACTAATGACACCAATAATCACCTTGCGGATATCGGTACCTCCAGGTTGGACCTTGAACTCTCTCCAGACAAATCCCAAAATGGGCCCCGAAAAAAAGAACATGAATACCCCAAAGGAAATGGGAGCCACAATCATGTTGAGTCCTACACTGGCCGCATAGGTCATGGATTTGGTGGTGATATCATCATCCTGCTGTTTCTTGCCTCCCACATTGGATGTCATTTTGTAGTAGTTGGTTTCTTCATTTTGCAATCTCAATTTCTCCATGCGTTCCTGGAATTTGCGCTTGGCATACGAGTCATTATTGTCACTATTTTGGGGATCGCGAGGTGGTGTAAAGTATAATTGGGTGTCACTCAGAGCTCGTTCGAGCTGTTCCACAGTGGTAGTAGTAGCATTGTCATTGGTGGTGTCATTGGTTTGGCATTGATGCAATACCACCTTCATCGATCGAATGACTGCAATAGGAAGGCATTTGGGATGCTTTGTTTCGGCATTCCATTGTGTCTTGTCAAATTCTAGCAATGCTGAATGGGCCTCATGAAGAGCCAGAGGAGCAACCAATGGTTGACCGGTGGTGGAAAGAGCACCATGTGGTGTTTCGGAAGAATCGGATGAGACAGTTGTCAGCAAGGGCTTGGTCTGACTTTGGTCCCTCTTGGCAATGGAGAGGCACTCATCATACAAGGACAACAAAGAGTGAGTGGCCGCAACGCCCTCGAGGTGTTTCTTGGATGCTCCCATCGTCGCCTCTTTGCCTTTGTCTTTGTCTTTGTCTCTTCTCTCGGCTGTCTCTTGGTTGGTTTGCTGTGGATTTGGATTTGCTTTGGCGGAGGTCAATCACAATAGAGTTAGGGATTCACGAAGAAAGGCTACCCAGCAAGAGTTAAAGTTTGGTTACGCGGTTTTCACATTCCATTTAAAAGAAGCTTTCTGAGTCATCCGAAACGGTACTACTAATGTTCTGGTCACAGGGAGCCATTTTGCTTAACACATTTTATTAAAGCTCAGCAATGGAGTAATGGAGTCCAATGGCCATAATCCGAAATCACGAAAAACATCTTTTACTTAACCAACTACGTCTCTACGTTTTGATTCAACGAAATGACCGAAGGACCTATAAGTGATGGTCGTAGCCATGACCAGACTTAGGGCACTGTGCCTGTCTTTGTTTCAGTGATGATGGCGAGAATGAATCGAATCAATCGAAGGGCTATGTTCATGGTTCAAGCACGCGGCAACACACTCGCAAAACAGCAAAACAGCACACAACAAACACACTTCGCACACAAACACACTTCCGGCCAAACCGGTCTCTTTTTTCTTGAATGTGTCGATTCAGGTGAGCAACAAAAAGGGGGATCAATCACAAGCAAACAACAACTACAGTACAGCCATAACATCCATCCATCCATCAATCAAGGTAACATGACAACCCACCCTACCGCCGCAGCGGATGCCATTGCCAAACGAGTCCGCTTCTCGCCGTTTGTGACATTCTTGGGCGACGAACCCGAACCACCACCGGAAATGGAAGAGTCCCTTCGTATGGACGGATCTTTCGCAGCGAATGGCAGTGTCGTATTTGGTCGTCGCAGTAGCCTCACGAACAGTAGTAATGGCCAGAGACGGCGAAGCATTGACATGAACGACATGGAACGTCAATTTGGAAATGTGTCTCTGGGCGGAGCCTTTCCTCTCAACTTTTCCGCCACGTCGTGTGATTTGGACGTGTCGGCCGAGTCTATTATCGAAGAAGACAACGAAAGCGACGAAGACCCCAAGCCGCAACAAGCGATGGAAGACATGCACAACTTTGCCGGCAGTTTGGACGTTTCCTTTCAATCGGATTCGTCCTTTCCTCCCATGGCCCAAATTCCGGCGGCGGCGATTGAAATAAGCGGGCCACCACCAGCGGCGGTCGACCATCATCGGCGTCGTGCTACGGGAGACGGGAACGTGGCGGTTGGAACAGCCGCCTAGCTAGAAAATGACAAGAAGAAGAACAAGAAGAAGATTGGAATGATCAATCAATCAAGGAAGAAACAACGGAAGAGAGAAATTCTACATATATTTTGCATGGGATGACGGGGCTGCCTCTCACTACTATTGTACACTCTGTACGCAGTGAGGGAATCGAATCAGCAAGGGTCAATTATTTATACGCAGAAGCACAAAAAATAAATCAAAACAGGGTGACTATTGGAAAGGGTGGGGCGCAGCCTGCAGGGACTTACTTACTACCAACTACCATACTGGTATCTTACCTAAGCACTGGCTATAATGGTTGATTTTTTGTCTATTTTTCGAGTTGGCCCTACATGCATTTTTGGAGTTGGCCTACGACTTTCTTCGAAGCTCCCTTTTTGTTTCAGGATAGGAATCGCCCAGCCCACTTGTAGAGGAATAAAGTGGATGCGGTGTCGGTTCCTACAGTACGGTACCTTGCTTGGTGGGCCTCGAAGCTTCGTGTCACTGCCGTCCTCTCCGATAACTTGCACCTTCGGGGGGATAGGACTAGGCCAAGTTGCCGCTGATCCAGCCCGAAAAGTAGCTAGCTAGAGGCATATCGTACCGGTAGATCAAGCAAGGCTCAGGCTTTCGTTGAGCGATCTAGCTGAAGAGTCCAGCTTTTCCATCTCTAAATTCTTGCCTACTGGGGTGGCATGCCACGGTTTCGTCGCTCCCGCGACATGGCATTGAAGTACAATGCATGTATGTGTCATCAAGTCGTCACATCCCCAGCTCCCGCCGCGGCATTTTCTTCTGTAGCTACACGTTTCTCTGTCGCGTTTCAACAAGCCGACCAGCAGAAGCACCAAGCTAGAGGGTGCGACATGCACCGTAGATTGCTTCCGGTTCAGATTTCCCAGCCCAACAGAACGTGCATCAGATTCAAGGCGACAAGGTTAATGGCCTCGGGGGAAGTGCAGGACACGAAAAGAAGAAGTGCAAAGTGGACAGAAGCAAACTCTGTTGGAACGACTTGACGCAGGTGAGAGAGCCTGCAACCCATGATACCGGTACCGAACCCATCAGGTGGCTGCATTTGCCACTGTAGCAAGCTGGCACCATACATGACTTAATACTGTGTATTGGTACAAAGCACGGAGTCTGTGTATTGGTACTGTACAAGTTCTATTTCGTTTACAAGTATTACATTTGGCAAAGCGTCTCGCTACTGACTCCACGCTGTGCAAAGTCGCACCCCTCCACGAGCTTCCTCGTATTTTCCACGTCGTGGAGTCCTCATGACTGTATCGATTGGCAGATATCGGTCATGCAGGCATCCAACTGTTTCAGATTGAAGGGTTTCGGGACGAACCCGAAAGCGCCTAGCCTGGTGGCTTCCTCTTCCAGAGCACGATCTACTGTGGCTGTTACAAAGACAATCTTGGGTTTCTTTTCGCTTTGTCGTCCCACAATGATCCGTGTTGCTTCCAGGCCATTCATGACTGGCATGAGAACATCCATCAGAACAACGTGGTAGTGATTGGCGGCCACCGCATCGACAGCCTTTTGGCCATTGTCGACGACGCTCACATTGGTGAATCCAAGCTTCCGCAATAAGGCCCGAAGAACCTTTTGATTGATGCCGTTGTCTTCGACGATGAGTATCGATACGTCTTTCTTGTCCATTGTGGCTGTCACCACGGGGGGTGATTCATCATGTACACACTTTGTCTTCTTGTTGCCATTGGGTGGATTGGCGATGGTACACGTACCAGTCGAATGCCGCCGTTGTTGTTTGGACTTGTGATGGTGGTGTGCACCACCCGGCAAGGATGGCATGTGGCTGGCCACCGATTCTTCCACAGCATCCACCAAGCTTTGCATCAAGACGCTCGGTACGATCTGCAATAGATTCCGAAAGTGATTGGATGATTCAGAAACTGTGTACTCCGGCCCTACTGTCCAGAGCAATGACGCTGAATGGGCTCGTTTCACCTCTTGCTGGAACCGTTGCATGACATCTTGTTGATAGACAGCTTCATCGATCCAACATGCCAGTGTGTGATCTGCTGGAATGTCAATAATGTCGTCCGATGCACAGGACGACGAGCCCGTGGACAAATCGGACACGGACTGTTGCTGCAATTTAATTCGATCGAGATCTGCCATGGACGTCAAGATTCGATAGGGCACTTGGTAGGATTCCAGCAATTGCTCGAGGTCGGGAGTGGGAGGCAAGTTGGGTCCGGGCACCACGAGACAGGTCGTCTTGGTCAGTCGCTCTCCCAGTGCCTTGACATCGAATTCGTCGGCATTGTCAAAGGGAAACTCCACGACAAACTCACTGCCAACGGTCACGGTGGAGTTGGCATAAACGCACCCTCCCAGCGCCTGCACCAGCTTCTTGGTCACAGCCAATCCCAGTCCGGTTCCTTCGTAGCTCTTGGCGGTGTCTTCTCCGGCTTGTACAAAGGGCTGGAACACAGTTTGTAGGGCATTTGGAGCAATACCACATCCATAGTCCTTGACCACAAACCTCAAGACACAAGGTCCAGTGATGGGTTGTGTGACATGTGATGGCACGCTGGGAGTTCCCGGGGTTCCAATCTCGACCTTGAGATCGACATTGGAATAGGAAGGAGAAAACTTGAACGCGTTGCCCAACAGGTTGAACAGGATCTGCTGCATTCTGAGACGATCCGTGGTCCAAGTAGGCGACAGCTGCGGCGAGTAGTGTGTTCGAACCTTGATGGATGAGTTGTGATGCTTGAGTTCCATGGCTTGTACTACGCCCAATAGCGTCTCTTGAAGGTTAGCTGGCTTCAAGGACACATCCACATGCCCCGATTCTAGCTTGGAGTAATCGAGCACATCATTGACTGCGGTCAAGAGGAGTTCACTACTGGAGCTGATCAACTGCATTGACTCGGCTTGCAGTGGATTCATCTCGGTGGTTTGTAGCAAGGAGGTCAATCCAATGATGCAGTTGAGGGGAGTCCTCAGTTCGTGAGAGGCACAGGCAAAGTGTCTCAGTTGTCGTTGTTGTGTCCGTGTCAACCGGGCGTTGGCTTGTTCGAGTTGCTGAATCTTCTCCTGGCAGCCACAGCATTTTTGCCGCTGCTGCTGTTGTTGCTGTTTCTTTGGAGCCCACACTCGAAAGAGCGGCGATGCGCCGTTCTTGGTCTGGACAACGGAGTGGATGTTGTTGTGTACCGTGTTGGCCAAGACGGCACTGTGAATAGAAGTCACTGCACTGTAAATAGAAGCCATGGAACTGCTACTACTAGGAGAATCACTGGCCTTGGGTTTGCAGTTGTTGGGAGTGGCAGCCGCCGACACCATTTCTACGTGGAGTGCGTCTAACAACTGATCCCGACAATGAGACCACACGTAATCCTTCAGCGATTCCTCATGTTGCTGCAAGTTTGGTAGCCTGCAGCCGATGTCTTTCAGCTCGATGCGGGGTAGCTCGACGAACACGCGCGTAATGTTCGCCGACTCCGCGACTGATTGGATGGCAGATGGAGATATCGTCGTTGTCATGGTGTGATGTTGGTGCGGACAGGACCAGGACCGTTCGAATCGAATCGTTGAATTGAATGCAGCTTCTATCGATCTATGAGCACCAAAGTGTCGTTGCGGAGATAAAGCAAGATGTTCCGACGTTCCGACACACTGGGTTGTTCAGTTGGTTGTTTTCTGCGGTACAGTACCAGTGCTCTTCCCTGGGAAAGGGTTGCATGCAGCGCTTGATGGTGGACTACTAGAGTGGCCTTCTTTCGACAGTGACAACTCTTTGTTGTTCGAGGGCTCACTTCAGTCCCACAACGTGTGGAGGGTGGAGGGGAAAGGGAAAAGGGAGAGGTGTGACAAAAAGAAAAAGAGATGCAGACAATTGCAAATTGCATGGAGAACGTGGCTAGCAACCGTGAACTGGTGAGTTATGACATACTAGTAATCAGTTTTGTACAATAGACATTTTTATTTTATTTGTCTTTGTCACTTACTTATTCGGTGGAGCTAGCTGGAGATAACTTTTACGGATAGATGGAGTCACTGAGTCGAGTCAGTCGACTCGTCGACACGTCGACACTCAGGCACTCAAGTGTCCAGACGTACATACCGGTAAGTGTCAAGCACTCAAGGTCTCAAGGTTACTCGTGCCTGTACATACTGTACGGCTTCATTACGGTACGTGTACACTCCACCCTCGATATAAGACTATTGGATTGTAATGGGACAATTCTTGCGCGCGGTGCCCTGTACTGTACTGGTACCCTACTGCTATTTGGACAATCAGTTTCTACCAGCTAAAAGCGCTGGCCACCAGTTCATCTCAATACCGGCACTCCCTCATCAGCAATAACATTCATGCAACTCCGAGGCAGATTTTTTGAACTGAATAATGTTGTGAGACACTTCATGGTGTCAGACAAGCGATTTTTGCATCCAATGCAATGCATCAAACACTTGGCAGTTTGCTTCACAGGATGGATGCAAAATCTCAAGCAAACTGCACAGATGATTCGTGGCCCTTTGGTGCCACTCTTGGAGTCTTAATAAAAACAGGGTTGGAAAGGGGTATTTATCCAGAACCAGGCCAGGGGCGAGCGGGGGCCCCATCGTAAGAACGACCTTTCCGTTGCCATACTTGGTTAAAGCAACAGTGCTCTCTGGACTCTGGACGTCTTTGGGCATATGGTTGAAAACAGACGGTGACAGATTCTTCCCCGTGAAGAACAGAAAGGAGCAGTGAGGCATGAAACATTTTCAGAGCCTTAGCTTTAAGATATCATAATTTGGTGGTTATTTATTTTTCGCTTGTCCCTGGATTACTCTACAGCTGTACCGGTACCGGTACCTTGCTCTACTACAATGATACTACGAGTACATGTACTAGCTAGCTAGCTACCGTAGCTACTATGCAGAGCTACCGCACCAGTACCAGCAGCAGTCTGTCAGTCATGCACAAGCTCATGCACATCGTCCATGCACGGTAAGAGAGAACAGCAACGGTTGGTAACTTGGTAACTTAATCAAATTTTCAAATTTTCCAGGTGCCAAACTCTGGTTACGAATTTGTTTCGTAGATTGGACAGGACTGGCTGTTCTTGTTTTGGGGTGACCGCGAGTCGACTTTCGAATGCTTCCTCCCTGATTTTAAGAGTTTTAAGAGTTGCAACACGTAAAGTGATGTCCGCAGAACAAAGACGGGTGAGTCGAGTCTCAGTCAGTCGAGTGACGGACTCGACGTTCGAGCCTCCACGAAGGATGCCGTCGAAGCTCACCGGATACCGGCACCTACAAGCTACCGTAGCTAGCTAGCCTGTGGCCTGGGACTCAATGAGTGTCAGAGAGCTATCTCAGCCTCAGTAATAGCCCAGTAGCCAAAGCATTAAAATAGTTGCACCACCGTAGATTCTCAAGTTTTCGCTTGTTCTTCAACTTTGGGTCTGTGAGACCAGGTTCCAAGCTTTGATTGCTAGCTTACCGGTAGCTAGCTAGCTAGGGTCTGATAAGTGCCCACCATCCACACGGTGAATGGCTGAGCCAGTCAAGATGGTAGTTTTACCAGTCCCAAATGTTGTTGGTGGCCTCGCCTTGCTGCAGGAGTGATCTTATCCCACATCCCAGGTTGATCATTCTTTGCTGAAGCCAAAATTCATGCTGGTAGGGGTCTACACGGAAGATGCTCCGGCCTGTGATCAGAAACTGGTGACTCTGGCTTTTCCTTATTCAGGCCCAGCTTGTGCAAATAACATGACATCGCGCCAGCTCCCGCCAATCCTATTCAACCAAACGGGTGCAAGGACTCGACTCAAGTTTGTTTGCTTGCCCTGAATCTCCTCCTCATTGGGACCGGCCTCGCCTTGATAAGGGGAGCCTCATAAATTGTCTATAGTTTCTTTCTGAGCACTCGTCAGTATTGGTGAGAAAGAATAGGTGGATGCCTATGGCCAGCGTTTGTTGAAAGTAGACTTCCTAAGTTAATAATTGTTGAAAGTAGATAATCAGTGCAAATGGATGAAATCCCACCAGGCAACCGGGGGGTGAGCAACCCATTCGCACCCAATCTCGCGCCTTTGGCACTCAGGATGTCAAATTGCCCAACAGAGTGTCAGATCTCCCACATAAGCACTCTTGAGTCCTTCCATCTTCACGAGCGACGCCAATGGAACGGAATAGAATCGAATCAAATCGAAGTACATCCAGGATTGATGCTTGGATAAATGTCCTCCTTGTGATATTGGTCCCAAGGACACTGTCACCACCAAGACGATTGACCTGCAAAACGATTACATGTAGTGCCCATGCTGGAAAGAAATGAGAGCCCCTGAACCGTCCCACGGTTTTCACTCAGGATTTAAACAACTTGAAATTCCCAGGACTGCCTTCCGTTTGAGAACATGCCCTTAAACATGCCCTTAAATCTTCAACATGCCCTTAAACTTGCCTTAAATAAACATGCCCTTAAACTTAAATAAACATGCCCTTAAAAAATGTCCCTAATGCCTCGAAACATGCCCTTAAAACATAGACACCTTAACGAATGACATGCCATTAAACATGCCCTTAAAGATCTATCGCAAATGCCCTTAAACATGCCCTTAATAAACATGCCTTTAAAACATGCCCTATAATCGGCAACATGCCCTTAAACGTGCCCTTAATAAACATGCCCTTAAATGAGAACCAGTCGTAACAGTTTTTTAAAGCCTGAGCGAAAACCGTCGGACGGTCCTGGCTGGGGAATCCAGAATGCACGACCTAAATTAGCAGATTTCGAATATTTTTGAAAGTACGACTTAAAAGGCGGTTTCACGCAGTCCCACTTTTCCCTCATGTAATATTTTTAAAAACAAGATGCCTCCGGTTGCGCCAACCACGGAAATAGAAATAGCAAAAAGGGCTGCCACTTGATTGGCAAATAGCTAATATTTACTGCCATGGGCTCCCAGAATGTATACGTGCTTTAGATAGCTGCTGCGTAATGGTTTAATCTACCTAAACCCCTTTTTATATTATTGAGGAGTGGAGTTTGGTTACATCTGGCCGGTTACATCTGGCCGGTACATGTATGTCTAATCTACCTAAACCCCCGTTTATATTGAGGAGTGGAGTTTGGTTACATCTGGCCGGTACTGTAATGGTCTAATCTACCTAAACCCCCTTTTATATTGAAGGTGGAGTTTGGTTACATCTGGCCGGTACCACGTAATGGTCTAATCTACCTAAACCCCCGTTATATTATTGAGGAGTGGAGTTTGGTACATCTGGCCGGCACCAGTAATGGTTAATCTACCTAAACCCCGTTTATATTGAGGAGTGGAGTTTGGTTAATCTGGCCGGTACGTAATGGTCTAATCTACCTAAACCCCCCTTTATTATTGAAGGGTGGAGTTTGGTTACATCCGGCCGGTCCGCGTAATGGTATAATCAAAATAACCCAAGTTTTAAACATACCATACCGGTGCTCGCACAGTTATTACCGGTATGGTGCATAAGGCAAACTGGCTAACCCTAACCCTACAAAAAGGACCAAAAAAAGGACAACCACAACAAATTCGCTTTTTTCAGCTGTCGTCTCCTGTTTCCTCAGTTACATGCGATCCAGCCATTGTAGCCAGGCTACCGTACCGTAG